CCAGGGGGGGGGGGCAATTTCTCAAAGTGTTGGGGGACAATTTGAGAATAAATTGGGATAAATGTTTAAGAAGCAGAAGTTTTCATGAAGGAATTATTTTTGTGTGAATTTTTAGTATTGACTGCTGTGGCTTCCTCTTGTAAGGTAGTGTTCTTGGCTGGGGTTTCATTGTTGATGGAAGATATATTCTTATTTCCTTTGCGAATCAGTAGTTTCCTTGTTAGCACTACTGTTTCCCATTGAACAAGCTTGGGGTATGGCTAGGATATTGTTTTTATATATTTTTTTATTTGTTTATTTACCTGTCTGCTCATTTTTGTCTATTTTTATACATTGTTGTTTAGTGAGAGGGTATAGACAAATTGTTTGTATTGCACCTAATCTGTTTATTACAAAAAAATAAAAAGAAGAAAAAATTGATTCAGAATTCTTATTGTTTTACATGCTAGAGGGAATCTAGTGCTCATTTCCTGTGCAAAGCTTCAGTTTTCAAATTATGACACACCCATCCCCATCCCACAGAAAATTTGGCTTTTAGAATGGTTTTAGGGGGGTGCAAAATTTAAGATCATTTGATTTCAGTTTCACAAAGAATAGAAATGTAAATTGTGTGATTTTGTTATGACTTGCTCGCCCATATGGTAGACTTTGTAAACAGCAGTTGCCGTGATTGCCTTTGCTTCACAGGGGCAATAGCATTTAGTAAATTGGTATATTTTAGCAAGATAGAGTTTTGATTGGTTCCTAATTTTAGATGAAACCTCTTGGGTATAACATCAATGTATATTTAGTGTAAGTTACCGAGAGGGACACAGAGAGATAGAGGGAAATGGACACCACCATCTTATAGAGTGTAAGAGTAAGATACAACAAAGTTTAAGCTGCAGCGGCCTCATCTTTACCTGTAAAAGAAGATAATGTCCGCTGCATATCACAGCCAGAAACCAGGGGTTGGAGGGAGGGGGGTAATATAGGGAAGATCACAAAAAGCGGTAATAAAAAAGTAAAAAGGAAAGTGCAAAAATGTGAAAACTTGGAACCAAGAATTGTAATTTCAATAAAGAAAGTGGAAAAAGAAACCGAAAGATTCTTAATTTTCAAAAATGATAAAAAAGGAAAAATGAAAAAGAGCCAAAATTCGTAATTCAAAAATGAGAAAGTGGAAAAAAAAAAAACTTAGCCTAAATGATTGGAAAATCCGGAGCCAAGAATCGCACAAGTTACAACACTGATTGCCGAAAAAAATCCCTAGCCAATCGCTGTGCCTCCCTAGCCGATCGCCATACTTATTTAGCTTGGGGCCATAAAAAACGAAAAACCTTCATAACCCAGGGGCTATGCCCCTGAACACCCTCCCAGTCACCATGCTTTCCTAGCCAATTGCCGTTTTTCCCTAGCCAATCGCCGTGATTCCCTAACCAATTGCCATGCATCCCTAGCAGATCACCATGCTTCGCTAGCTGCTTGCAGTGATTGAGCAGCAGTGGTCTCCATTTCAAACCCCCTCTTGAACACAAGTTTTACCATAATACATTTTACATAAGTGTGGCGGATACAGGCGAGCTACAGCAGGGAGGGATTTGTACAGACACTTGTTGGTCTCAGAGATATTCATCTGAAGCATTGCCAGAGCCAAATAACCCACTGAGTAGTATTTCCTCCTGCCATAACGGGGAACTTTCGCCTTTGCCTCTCTCCACCTCCTTTCTATAGTGTTCATGTGAACAGCAGGGATAGGATCCACAAAACTGATCGAGTGATTCACTGTGACGTGTTGAAGGCATTTATATGCCTTCCAACAATCACTTATTATGGTTGTTCATGGCTCAATTTTTTCTTTAATGATGCCGAGGAGCATTTCTATGTCTCTGTAAGCTACCAGGACAAGGAAAAATTGTCTTGTTTGATGGCAAACCCTGCCAAACACCTACTGCCCTTCTATACAACACCCAACATTGCACTTCCTTTTCCCAAATTTACTTTCATCGATTTCAACAATTTTGTCTGGACCACCAATCTTTTCTGAGGTATTATTGAAACACCAGGAGACACACACTTCTTGGCAAAAGCTCGTCTAATCACATGTAGTTATTTTTGAGAGTCCTAATACATCTCGTATAGGTGCATACAAAAAATAAAGAAATTAATAAAGAACGAATTACTTTCGATGTCCAATTTACTATTTTCAAGCCAAGTATGTTAGAAAGTCGACCTTTGGAATTGGCATCTGACATGCATATTATTTAGTTTTCGAGATTCGTTGTACCGAAAAAGTTTTTCCTTTAAGTCTGTTCTGAGTCTGCTCCACACTTGATGGTGTCCAAAATGAGCTTGTCGTTTTTGCACAAACTTATTATTGCCTCACAATCACCAGAGAACTTTTAAAATAAACTCACTGAAACCACTGTCACAGTCTTGACACCGGTTAGCCATACTTGAAACTGACAGGCTGTCAAAGTGACCATCCTTAGTTTACTTGTGTGGAATATGAAATGCAAAGATTGAAAAAATAAAATAAAATAAATAAATAAATAAATAAATAAATAAATAAACAGTTAAATACAGGCCATAACTAACCAAACACTCAGTATGAGACAAAAAAAAAAAGTTAATAAAAAAAAAGTTAATAACATCATAATAAGATATTAAAACAGATCCATATGAAATATATATGAAAAGTTTAAAAATTGTAGTGACATCTTGTGATGTACATGTGCAGTGGCACAGCAGTAGATGTGAAAACTGCATGAAAAGTTTGTAAACATTAGGTCACGTGTGGACTTAGTCGCTGGAGGTGCTTGGGGACTTGGTTTCCCGCGAGCATTTTGTGCACCACATTTTCTTGTTTTAGCTCAAATAGGTTCACTTCTGCAAATCAATTTTGATAGCAATTTATATAGTTTTTCATCGCCAACAATGCTATGATCTTCAATTTTTCTCCTTGTCAGTGCGGTCCCTATGGTAACCTTAACCCAAAGACTAAGTCCACAACACCCTCATGCAGCAAGAGTTCTTTATGTCTACATTTTCTATAAATTTGTATTTTTTTATATATGTCGCATTTTCTCCCCATCCATTTTCTTTATGTGCATTTTCTAAATAGGTCATATTTTCTGTGGACCAGTGAAGTTTGTAGAGTGAAAGTTGAAGCAGCTGTTGGAAGAGTTTTATTACTATAGTGAGTTCCTTTAATTGTGACAGAAATGCCATAGATAAAAAGTGATCCATCAATTCCTTGTACAATTGACCGCAAAAATGTTAGTTGTCATATATTAGAAAAATGCCTTCTTTTCTTGTGATTGCATTGGCTGTGTTCCATCAAAATTCATTTGGAATTGCTGCAATCTGTGAAGAAATCCCTATATTCTGAAGTCAGTCCAGAGATGATGTACTGTAAAGTAATCTCTTCAGCCTTAGCGTTTCAGTCTCNATTGGTATATTTTAGCAAGATAGAGTTTTGATTGGTTCCTAATTTTAGATGAAACCTCTTGGGTATAACATCAATGTATATTTAGTGTAAGTTACCGAGAGGGACACAGAGAGATAGAGGGAAATGGACACCACCATCTTATAGAGTGTAAGAGTAAGATACAACAAAGTTTAAGCTGCAGCGGCCTCATCTTTACCTGTAAAAGAAGATAATGTCCGCTGCATATCACAGCCAGAAACCAGGGGTTGGAGGGGAGGGGGGTAAATATAGGGAAGATCACAAACAAGCGGTAATAAAAAAAAGTAAAGGAAAGTGCAAAAATGGAAAACTTGAACCAAGAATTGTAATTTCAGTGATAAAGAAAGTGGAAAAATGAGAAATCCGAGCCAAGATTCTTAATTCAAATGATGAAAAAAGTGGAAAAATGAAAAACCCGAGCCAAGATTCGTAATTCAAATGATAAAGAAAGTGGAAAAATGAAAAACCTTAGCCAAGAATTGTTATTCAAATGATAAAGAAAGTGGAAAAATTAAAGACCGGAGCCAAGAATCGCACAAGTTACAACACTGATTGCCGAAAAAAATCCCTAGCCAATCGCTGTGCCTCCCTAGCCGATCGCCATACTTATTTAGCTTGGGGCCATAAAAAACGAAAAACCTTCATAACCCAGGGGCTATGCCCCTGAACACCCTCCCAGTCACCATGCTTTCCTAGCCAATTGCCGTTTTTCCCTAGCCAATCGCCGTGATTCCCTAACCAATTGCCATGCATCCCTAGCAGATCACCATGCTTCGCTAGCTGCTTGCAGTGATTGAGCAGCAGTGGTCTCCATTTCAAACCCCCTCTTGAACACAAGTTTTACCATAATACATTTTACATAAGTGTGGCGGATACAGGCGAGCTACAGCAGGGAGGGATTTGTACAGACACTTGTTGGTCTCAGAGATATTCATCTGAAGCATTGCCAGAGCCAAATAACCCACTGAGTAGTATTTCCTCCTGCCATAACGGGGAACTTTCGCCTTTGCCTCTCTCCACCTCCTTTCTATAGTGTTCATGTGAACAGCAGGGATAGGATCCACAAAACTGATCGAGTGATTCACTGTGACGTGTTGAAGGCATTTATATGCCTTCCAACAATCACTTATTATGGTTGTTCATGGCTCAATTTTTTCTTTAATGATGCCGAGGAGCATTTCTATGTCTCTGTAAGCTACCAGGACAAGGAAAAATTGTCTTGTTTGATGGCAAACCCTGCCAAACACCTACTGCCCTTCTATAACAACCCAACATTGCACTTCCTTTTCCCAAATTTACTTTCATCGATTTCAACAATTTTGTCTGGACCACCAATCTTTTCTGAGGTATTATTGAAACACCAGGAGACACACACTTCTTGGCAAAAGCTCGTCTAATCACATGTAGTTATTTTTGAGAGTCCTAATACATCTCGTATAGGTGCATACAAAAAATAAAGAAATTAATAAAGAACGAATTACTTTCGATGTCCAATTTACTATTTTCAAGCCAAGTATGTTAGAAATCGACCTTTGGAATTGGCATCTGACATGCATATTATTTAGTTTTCGAGATTCGTTGTACCGAAAAAGTTTTTCCTTTAAGTCTGTTCTGAAGTCTGCTCCACACTTGATGGTGTCCAAAATGAGCTTGTCGTTTTTGCACAAACTTATTATTGCCTCACAATCACCAGAGAACTTTTAAAATAAACTCACTGAAACCACTGTCACAGTCTTGACACCGGTTAGCCATACTTGAAACTGACAGGCTGTCAAAGTGACCATCCTTAGTTTACTTGTGTGGAATATGAAATGCAAAGATTATGAAAAAATAAATAAAATAAATAAATAAATAAATAAATAAATAAATAAACAGTTAAATACAGGCCATAACTAACCAAACACTCAGTATGAGACAAAAAAAAAGTTAATAAAAAAAAAGTAATAACATCATAAGATATTAAAACAGATCCATATGAAATATATATGAAAGTTTAAAAATTGTAAATCTTGTGATGTACATGTGCAGTGGCACAGCAGTAGATGTGAAAACTGCATGAAAAGTTTGTAAACATTAGGTCACGTGTGGACTTAGTCGCTGGAGGTGCTTGGGGACTTGGTTTCCGCGCAGCATTTTGTGCACCACATTTTCTTTGTTTAGCTCAAATAGGTTCACTTCTGCAAATCAATTTTGATAGCAATTTATATAGTTTTTCATCGCCAACAATGCTATGATCTTCAATTTTTCTCCTTGTCAGTGCGGTCCTATGGTAAACCTTAACCCAAAGACTAAGTCCACAACACCCTCATGCAGCAAGAGTTCTTTATGTCTACATTTTCTATAAATTTGTATTTTTTTATATATGTCGCATTTTCTCCCCATCCATTTTCTTTATGTGCATTTTCTAAATAGGTCATATTTTCTGTGGACCAGTGAAGTTTGTAGAGTGAAAGTTGAAGCAGCTGTTGGAAGAGTTTTATTACTATAGTGAGTTCCTTTAATTGTGACAGAAATGCCATAGATAAAAAGTGATCCATCAATTCCTTGTACAATTGACCGCAAAAATGTTAGTTGTCATATATTAGAAAAATGCCTTCTTTTCTTGTGATTGCATTGGCTGTGTTCCATCAAAATTCATTTGGAATTGCTGCAATCTGTGAAGAAATCCCTATATTCTGAAGTCAGTCCAGAGATGATGTACTGTAAAGTAATCTCTTCAGCCTTAGCGTTTCAGTCTCTTCAAAGGCCAAAAATATCAATTATGTATGTTCTGAGGGGTCAGGAGGTTTAAAAGCATAGGCATTTAGATCTTGTTAGAGTTTTAGTGTTATTTTGTATTCTGAGAATGCATTCTGGTTCAGTTAAATTTTAATAAGTAACCTACAATAAGGTTAATGTGGCATTTGTTCTCTGTATTAACTATATTTTATCTAAATCCTCTTGAAACTTGTGTGTTGTGAAAGTCCTACAATTTTAGTTCAACTTGACGCTAAATAGTGTCGAACTATTGTCATGGCCTCTGCACCGTCACTGTTAAGACATAGGCCAGCAATCTTTTATCATATATATTTTTGCAAGATAGAACATTGAATGTTTCTTCATGGTTTTTAGTGATGGATTGCTGAGGAGGTCAACCAAAAGTGTCTTGCCAGAGTAATTAGTCAACATTAGGTCATATAGGTTAGTTTTATGAAAATGTCTTATGAAAGTATCGATTAAAAGTATATGACAGTCTTTGAAAGTTGACCCAGGTATACCTTAGTTATCATTTACATGTATACATCAACTGGACTTTGGGTAATTATATAAAGAATAATGATAGGAAAATGACTTACACTCCTGAATGCTGAGTACATTAGTACTAATCCCCGTACTAACCCATCTCACTGCTATTTTGTGTTACAGTTCTTGTATGTTTTACCATTGAAAGCAAACTAGAAATTATTAACTTGAACATTTTTCTTCCTGACAGAGAAGACGTGGCAGCCATGGCTCTGTCATCGGAGTTTGTGTCGCTGGTCCAGCAGGAGATTCCGGAGGGACGGCAGTCACTCTCGGACTCTCATGCCAACCTGGAGAAAGTGGCTTCATATTGCATAGAGAACTTTGCGAGGGTAAAGCATCTTGGTAGCACTAATCTTTTAGAAAAAACGCATGAAGCGAGTTTTTATTTATTTTTGTTTATTTGTTTATTTATTTATTTTTCTTTTCCTTTGCTGTTTTTTTTTTTTTTTTTTTTTTTTTTTTTTTTTTTTTTTTTTTTTTTTTTTTTTTTTTTTTTTTTTTTGTGATTGTACACATTTATTGTGGTTCAGTGTAATACTGTTCTCCCCTCTAAGAGTACATCCTTTGTATATTTATTAGAATGAGTTCAGGCAAATCATATGCTAATAAACAATTTTTTGTAACAGGCAGAGAACAAAGCCCAAGCACTGGAGGAAACTAAGAACTACACGACGCAGTCCCTTGCTAGTGTGGCTTACCAGATAAATACTCTAGCATACAACTTCTTGCAAATGATTGATCAGCAGGCACACCAATTGGCAGAAATGGAGAGTCAGGTTAATTACATATCTCAGGTAGGTCAAGTATGTGCTTTTTTAAACTTTTGTGAATAAAAAGGAATGTGTAAAATATTTGTACGGGATTTTTAAAGCATTAAACACCATTAACAAGAATAAGAAGTTAATTTACTTTACAGCTAATTTTTAAAATGTTCAGTCTATTCTTTGTCGGTCCTAAATTTAACTTAATTTTTAGGTAAGGAATATTGGTTGAGATACGGTTCTATGTGTAATTGGAGATAAAAGTTTCAGTTCAGTAATATACCTAAAGGGAAGTATACATTTTCCAAGCAAAATTACAAACTTACAGAATTTGCCAAAACAAAGTTATAGATTTTAGATAGTCCTTAATCATTTCATTTTCCAGTAAGCATTTGAGCTCTAAGGTCATGCATAGCCTCTCTTTTTTCAGATGGTAATGGTTCACAAGGAGAAGGTGGCCAGGAGGGAGATTGGCGTCCTCACGACCAACAAGACAACTGCCAGGCAATACAAGATACTTGCGCCAGCAAACACAGAGAAACCAATCAAATATGTGAGGAAGCCCATCGACTTTGGATGTGAGTTCCACTGTGGTTTGATTTAATTTGATGAGCTATGTGAATATTTGTTTGATTTAACCCCTGATATCTGAGGCAACTGTATTGTGTATATCTGTAAAACACAACTTGAGATTACCTCAGTAGTAGAGAATCAACAGTAGAAAATTGGCAGCAATATCCAGTGGTGTTTTTGAATTCTTACACCTTGTCAGGCACCCATAATCACCTGAAATGCACAGACATCAATTATCTATTACAAGGTAATGACTTACCAAGGCATCTGTTAGCTAATTGTCATCTCCTATATATAAATGTATATATTTGTTGTATAACAAAAATAAATGGAATATGCATTTATAAGCCTGCATGATCAGCTAAGTATATGATACAAATCTCACTTATGGGAAGCATGCATACCATCTGTGAACAGTGGGTTAACAATTATTCATATCCACTCAAATTCAGGCCACACAAAAGAATTAATTGTATTTTTTGGATGGTGCAAATCAAAATTTATATTAGAGTTCAAAACATCATAATCATTTACTGGCACCCTGTGGCATGTTGATACAAGTTTCCCTGTGTCCTCATCTGAGCATTTCTATTTACAGGATGCACATCTCTTAGGGGTTAATACATTTTCTGTCACATTTTTCTTACAGAATATATCTCATGAACTTATGCTTTCCACTACCATAGGCTTAGATGATGTAGGGCATGGCATGCGTTCATCGTCCAGCAGTACCCCACGGTCCAGACGTTCAGCCAGCAGTGTGGGCATGCCCCCTCCAGTCCACCAGCCCCCCACTTCTGCCGGACCTGCCCCCACCACGAAGCCACCAACACCTCCCCAGGCCAACAGGTCTGTGAGCAGCCTCTCTAGGGGCTCACGGGAGTACCGCACTCCTCCAGCTGTGGCACCTCCTCAGGTTGGTATGCTTAATTTCAGATGCTTTTGTGGTGTCCTGAATTTCAGGTTTTGTGAGATATATGTGATGTATATACTATCTAATATTTTTGGCATGACTTAATACAAACACCAGAAGATATCCAACTCAAAATCCCTGCAGGTACCTAGCAACTATGCTCCCAACTACCCTATTGGCCATCCACGACGTAATGACCGCTCGAGTGGCTACAGCACCTTGCCCCACCAGTCAGCTGCCCATGTAGCCCCCATGAACCACAACGGGGGAGCAGCACCTCCTCCCCAAGTGGGCATGGTGCATCCCATGGCCCATGGCGCACCCCAGGGTTCCTACACCCCGCCTCCTCCCCCACCCCACATGGAGCAACCGCAATATGCAGCCCATCCTATGGGTATGCCACGTAAGTTGCCTTGCCTTGTTGTTTTTTTTGGGGGTATCTTGAAGGAAAAGTCTTGAAAATGTGATGAGCTTTGTATGTTTGAAGGTTTATTTGTTTGTTTGTGCTTGTGTGCTTGTATATTTATATGAGAGGAGGATGTTTACATATATATATATATATATATATATATATATATATATATATATATATATATATATATATATATATATATTATATATATATATATGACTAAACCTAAGAGAGAGGGAAACATAAGAAGAGTTAAGGAAGAATATAAGAGAGAAAAACTAATTTTTATGATTTTTTTTATCAATTTGTTTAGATATGAGATTACCTTTTTAAATCTCATATACAAAGGTAAATAATGTTTATTCATGTCTGTTGGTGTGCAAATGCTTTCTAGATGATCTGTTCTAGGTGTGAATGTATTTTGTGTGCATAATTGCAATCTGTGCATGATAGTTATGTGGGTAAATTAATTGCTTATGTTGCTGTTCCAGTATTCCTTGCAGATGTCATTATGGTTCAAGATTTGATGGTGTTGCAAGGACCATTCAATCTAGGTGTTAATACAGATTTATTCATGTAAACTGTTGACAGTTGATGGAGTGGTATTA